GCTTGAACTCTGGGCCTGGGCGCTGTCCCTCAGCTCTTCAGCTCAAGGCTAGCACTCTACCACTTGAGCCACAGCACCACTTTTTTTTTTCTTTTTGCTTATGTGGTGCTGGGGAATCAAACCCAGGGCCTCATGCATGCAAGGCAAGCGCTCTACCACTGAGCCACCTTCCCAGCCCCTGTCCCTGAGCTCTTCTGCTCAAGGCTAGTATTGTTCCCACTTTGAGGCACAACTCTACTTCTAGTTTTCTGGTGGTTAATTGGAGATAAGAGTCTCACAGACTTTCTTGACTGGGCTGGCTTTGAACCATGATCCTCAGATCTCAGCCTCTTGAATAGCAAGGATTACAGGTGTGAGCTACTGGCACCCAGCATAGATTCCTTATTGTGAAACACTGATTAAGTTTGTGATTTTTATTCATCTGTCTTATAAGCTTGGATAAAGTAAGTTTGCCCTGCGGGGGAGGAGTAGTCCTCAGAGGAGGCTTGTGAAGGTTTTTTCTTAGGTAGAGGGAGGGAAGGATTATGATTCCCAGGGTGGTGGTTTGTTGTGGTGGTTTCTGGATACCTGGGCATCTTGTCCTTCTGATTATCACCAGCTTGGCCTTAGTGCCTTCCCATCCAGTCTCAAGCCAGTCCCTTACCTGTACAGAATGACCCCGGCCACCCTTTGACAATGAAATCCCCACTCCTCTGAGTAGGTATGGGTATATTTCAAGACCTTAGGGAAACAAAAAAGCAATAATAACTCATTTACTATGGGAGTAATTATGCACCTAAGTACTTGGCTGCGTTTACTTGTTTTTCAATGTATAATAAGTATTTTCATTCTGTGAGTAGAAACTGCACAAAGAAAGCCGTCTTTTGTGTGTGATTATAACATGATACATATTCGTAGACTTAAAAAAACTGAGACAGTTTAAAACCAAAAAACCTATTTAGTTAAATCTTCATTGACTTATGTGAGTTGGAACATATCCTGACTAGGATTGAAAAATTCAGCTCAGAAAATTTAGAAAATTTCCAGTTACCTGTGTACATGCGATGATCAGACAAAAGTGATTTAAAAAGGGGCTGGAAATGTGGCTTAGTGATAGAGTACTTAGCCAGCATGCATGAGGCCCTGGGTTCAATTCCTTGGTACCACATAAACAAAAAACAAAGGAAAATACTTTTTAAAAAGTGATTAAAGCTGGGTGCCGGTGGCTCATACCTGTAGTCCTAGCTACTCAGGAGGCTGAGATCTGAGGATCACGGTTCAGGTAAAGCTGTGAGACTCTTATCTCTAACAAACCACTCAGAAAACTGGAAATGGCGCTGTGGCTCAAGTGGTAGAGTGCTATCCTTGAGCTGAAGAGCTGAGAGACAGCGCCCAGGCCCAGAATTCAAGCCCCACAACTGACCCCCCCCCAAAAAAAAAGATTAAAAAAAGCTTTGATGCAGGATACCTTTCCATTACTTAAAGGAGTGCATTGCCATTTACAAATTCTGTCGGAGGTTAGCCAGTGGCTCATGGCCTGGAATCCTAGCCCAGGAGTGGGGTTTGAAGCCAGCCTGGGAAAGAAAGTCCATGAGACTGTTACCTCTGATTATCCACCCAAAAAAGCCAGAAGTGGAGCTCTGGTTCAAGTGGTAGAGCACTAGTCTTAAGCAAATAAGCTCAGGAACAGTGCCCAAGCCCTGAATTAAAGCCCCAGGACCAACGCACACACACAAAGTTCTGCCAAAGTTTAAAAGAATTGAACAAAGAGAATGTGCCAGGTAATGGGGAAGGGAGAGAAAAAGAGAGGGGGGAGAGGGAGGAAAACAAGGAGAGAGGGAAAGACAAGGAGGGAGAGAGAAGAGGGGAGGGAAGGGAGTGACAGAAAGAGGGCAAGATTGGAAGAGGGTTCGAGGGAGGGAGAAAACCAGTAGAAATCTATGTCTTTCATCATTACTTATTTTAAAATGAAGTCAGAAATTTGCCAAAATTAATCTAACATTTTTTTCTGACTTCTTTTTTTTTTAAAGCATCAACACATTTTTTAACACGGTAACTGTTCTCACTATTCTATAATCTACTTTGAACACGTCTTACTAGGTAGGAAGGCTGCTCAGTTTATGCTCCCAATTTAACATGAACAAATTTAAATACAACTGTTTTTACTACTTCTATTAGTCATTCCAACCATTAAGCAAGATGACTTTGAACTCCCTTTTAATGAGAATAATAACTCTAGCCCTTGGCTCAGTCTCTAGGCTGTTCTTCAGGCTCCTTTTGTTTTACATTTCTTGGCAGTGTGAAATTCCTCTTGTGATGTGATGTTTCTCATTTTGTAATTCTCACGACATCGTGTTTAATTTACCGATTCAGTTTACATGGGCTATTAACCTTGTCTCTTGTTTGTGTTCTCAGCTCTACATCTCCCCAAAAAGCTTTTGATCATTTTTCTAGGCCTGTACTTTGTCTGATCCATGCTTTGCAGCTTTAAAGTTGGTTGGTAACTTAAGGTTCTCTATGTATTGAAGTATCTTCCCCATTCAGCTTTTAAAGAGAAAAGTTTGCTTGGCCAGGTGTAGTGTTTGTTTATGGAAATTGAACGACTCATCTGCATCTTGTATAAGTTTTTTTCCTCCTGTGTTCATATGTAGAAATATGAACATGTGAAGGTCAGTCAACATTTTATTTTTTTATCAAATTTTATCTTCATTGTCTTTCTTTGTCTATCAGGTGTTAGAACTTCACCAGTGAGAGGAGAAAGGAGAAAATGAGAGTTTATTTGTTGTGCTTTTGGGTTGAAGGGAGCTCATTGGGCTAACAGGGGGTCTCTCATATTCACTTCCATTTGGGGATGGTAATTCTTTCAATCTGGGTAAGAATAAGCAAAAGGCCCTGGGAGATGATCTGTCTTATAAGGATATTCCAATACATAAGTATGTAAACATACACGGGGTCATATGCATTGATACATACACATATGAACTGAAGTATGATATGCAGGGGAGGATTTCAGTGTTGTATCGCTTTTGAACAATGAAATTACAGTCTCAGGACATGAGTACCAGGAAGCTGAAATGTGTATGTAAGGGTGACGTAGGGGAAGAGGGGGAGTGGGTGGCGGGGGGGGCAGTAGACAGATGGAGAGAAGAAGAATGGGTGAATGCATTCCTACTATTCAATGTGACGATGTGGACCATGGCAGGGATGGGTGGGGTTAGGAGAGATGGGGGAGAAAGATGGAAGGGGTGACAAGAATCATGATGCATTGTACTTACAAAGCACACGTGCCATTGACAGTGCTTTGTACAAGTACTTACAAAAACCAAAAGAGGGCAGGGGTCATGGCTCCAGTGGTAGAGTGCTTGCTAGGTAAGCGCAGGGCCCCTAAATTCAAACCTCAGCATCAACAAAGAAAGAATTCCTTAATAACTAAAAGGATATTCCATTCCGTAGGTGGTTACAACTTCAAAATGAAATAGTCACGGCTTCTAGTTCTAGCTGTGCCCAGATGACTTCACGGTGTTGCTTGGGTTATTCTACCAGACTCCTGACGGTGTCTCTATTCAGCAGGTGCTTTCATTTGCCTGAGTTTGTGTCTGGACAGAATGATGCTGAGAGGAGCCCCCAGGGCTCCCCTGCACCGCCAGCCGTTCAGCTCAGAGTTCCCGAGTGGAGGCCGACGGCGTGCTTGTTTCTCTAAGCCACGGGCCATCTGGTCCTTAGAGCTGACTGACCTGTGTTTTTCTCTGTTTTGAAGCTTCCTTGTCTCCATTTCTTTTTTGTTGTCAATTGACTATTGCCACCCCAATCCTCTTCTCCTGTCTGTGTCTTTTCTTTGGGAGACTCTGGCTTTACCGTCATCCTGAGACAAACCCCAGGTCTGTGTGGACCCTCAGCCGGATGGGAAATTTGGGCTTCTCCTGTTCTTCAGGAGCAGTGTAGTCACACTGTGAATAGGATATAGATCTTCACCCCGATATCTGGTAACCAGGGCAACGCATGCACCAATGGAGAGTACAGATGATGACATGTTGGAATTAGTCATAAAAAATGCCAGTGACTTGGATTTGTTATGCATTTCTGCCTGTTAGTTGTTTCTTTGTATTGAGGCATCACCATAGTAACAATGGTTTTGTTTTTTTTTTCTTTCAAAGCAAACATTTGAAAATGCTTTCTGCTTCAATTGTGCCATTTGTATCTGTGTATGTTATTCTAAGTTCTATACGACAAGACATTGCCATTTACCCTCTATAAATAATTTACTTGTAGGAGAAAATATATTTTTGGACATCTCTCAAATTCGTTTTTTGTGCTGGATTCAAAAGTTTAAAAGCACAAATGTTTGTTTTTTTTAAATCTCTCTGACATCTCGTTTGTTTAAATAGTGTTGTTCATTGGCTAAATATTTGTCTTGATTCCTTATCTCTTCAGTTTGATTTGTCTGCTTATCATCTTTAGTTCTAGCCTCCGAGTCCCTATGCCTGAGGATTTGGAAGTGGAACTTTAATGTAACTAAGGAATCCAGTAAAACTATTTTATCCTTTATTTTCTCCAGTTGAATTCATAAAGACTCCAAGATGACAGTGTTTCACCTGTAGAAGGTGAAAATTAATTAATGGAGATAACGTCAAGCATCCCCATAAGCCAACTTTCTAATTCCATCTGCTTAGTGAAGTACATTTTAAGCAAACCTGCACAGACTTGGATTTTTTATTATTTTATTTTCTTCATTGTAATTACACAAAACTGGACGGTATCTGAGCCATAGAAAAGTGGGAATAAAAGATTGAAAATAGGAAATTCCTTTTATTTTGAGTAGTTGTACAAAGGGGTTTCAATTCCACATGTCAGTTTCTGAGTACAGGGCATCTTCATCAATTCTCTCCCATCTCTCCCAACCCCACCCATCCCCTCAAGTTACCAATTTTTTCTGTGGCTTTTTTTTTGGGTCGGTTGTGGGGCTTGAACTCTGGGCTTGGGCACTGTCCCTGCCCTCTTCAGCTTAAGGTGAACGAACGCTCTACAGCGTTCAGCCACAGCGCCATGTCCGGTTTTCTAGTGGTTTATTGGAGTTAAGAGTCTCACGGACTTTCCTGCCCGGGCTGGCTTTGAACTGTGATCTTCAGATCTCCGCCTCCTGAGTAGCTAAGATTACAGGCATGAGCCACCGGCGCCTGGCTGCTTTTTTTTATTTTTTAATTTTTTTTTGGGTCCGGTCATGGGGCCTGAACTCTGAGCCTGGGCGCTGTCCCTCAGCTCTTCAGCTCAAGGCTAGCACTCTACCACTTGAGCCACAGCGCCACTTCCGGCATTTTTTCTTTTTG